TCTATGCTACGAAATACAGATCAGTGTGTTTAACAAATAATAAAGACCAGTCAAAAGACCAAAAAGCAAGAAATGTGGTCAAGTGCACCTTTAACAAACTCAATTATTAGTTACTGGTATACTGGGGTTTACGGTCTCATTGCCGTACCTGATCCTCAAAATAACAGCAGTGTCACAGCATTTTCCAAATGGTAGTACAATGATGCACAGTAGTAAATATCATCAGCATCATCATGTACCATCATGTACTATTTGAGCCAAATTCTGCATTAGGTCCATTTACAGATAACACAAGAGCGCAACAGAATGAAACCGACAACTTGTGAGCACCTTATGAAGAGAAGCGCATGGCTTGAGATGATGTAAACAAAACAAGACGTAACAGCAAACACGATATCCGTCTGATGCATGTGTACACAGACCAACAATCAGAGCAGATGGACTAGAAGAACACAAACTGCCCCGTAATGCATGTTAAACAGCAAACCGCACAAGCAGCTCTTCCATGTGCTCACATTAGTTATTGAACACACAACTTCAAATTGAAAATTAAAATGACATTTTTTGGTGGTGCAAGTCTTCCTTCAGGTTTGTTGTGAATATGAGGACCGGTTTAACTGGAACTCACAATGCTGTATGAATGTGAATTAATTAACAAACTCAGAACTACTATTTTGGTAATAATATTCCAATATTTACAATAATAATATATTATACGTGCTATCACTATGATACTTGGTATAGGGATTCTTTGGCTAGTATTTTACGGTATGTGTGACGCATGCATATCATCCACTGTATGTGATCCTGTCTGTGGACTTGTGTGTGTGCTGTGGTGGTTCACGTGACACTGACATGAAAACAGACGTCATTTTCGCCAACAGAAAGCATATTTATCTGAACCGCACCTCATCCGCTATATAGTGCACCATTCACCAATTTCAGCCACAGAATCAGCGTCTTTTTTAGTGTAGTGGGCAGGACGCTTCAGATTGGACAGACAATTTGATGAGAAGCGGATGTGTTGGTGTCATCAGAAATAATCTGTATTGGTGGTAGAGAGTAGGGCTGTGCGGTTTGTGGAAAATAGTTCAATTGCGATTTTTTTTGACAGATATTGCGATTTTATTTGCGATTTTAATTTTGCAAAGTCAAGCTTCAACTTAATATTGTCAATAGTGTGCAGCACAGTATGGGTAAAAAAAACAATAGAAACATCACAGAAATTCATATGGTTTCCATTAAAACAATTACAAAATTCCCTTTTGTAGTGTGTTTTGGGCATTATTCCAATAGGAATTACTGTTGTTCTATTGTTTCCCATCTGCCAGATTACATCCCACCAATAGAATCCATCAAACACCAGTAGACACCATTATAGTTTGCATTAAAGCCAATATAATTCCCATTATAACCCTTAAATCCATTCAAGTTTTGGGCAGGGTTCTATTGTTTTTTTCAGCAGGGAATATTAGAATGGTATTACTACTTTTACAGAATTTACTTAATTACTGAATTTCACAGGAAAGATTAGATAATTTTGTGTAAATAAAGAACTATTACTTTAGTCAATTATTAAAGTATTACATAGGTTACATAGGCTAATTTATTTATATTTATAATTATTTGGGATTTTAAGAACAAGTGGAAAATGTGCTGAATGTTTCATTTCATCCAAGTGAAATTAGTAAAGCAGTTAGACTGAATTTACACTTGTTTTAAACGCGGAGCCAGGCGCGAGTCGACACAGGTGGCACGCGTGCGTCAAGCCTCGTTCATATTGCCAGATGCGCTCGTGGAGACTTGCGGTGCGGAGCTGCAAGCGGCTTTCACACAGGACGCGGAAAGCGCAGCACTGCGCTATGAAACCCATTCATTTCAATGGCTTGCGCCGCACAAGGACAGTTTGTTGCTGCGTTGACCAAAGCGCACATGCAGCGGAGCGCACATGGGTGAGCTTGCACGCGCCGCGGTCAAAGTTCAAAATTGTTCAACTTTTGCCGCTGTGCTCTGTGACGATTACCCGAACGACCAATAGAAACGGGGCATCCAAATAGAACTCCCGGTAAATGTTTTGAAAATTCTGCCTATTTGAGATCAGAGACGCAAAATGCGCATCCTGTTTGTTTGTTTTTTTACATTTTGTTAATATTGTGAGTGCACACAAAAAATTTTTTTTTAGTTACCACTGTTATTAAGAAAAAAAAAAAGTGAGAGATCATGCTGGCGCCTCCATGTCCAGCAAAGCGCGCTTCAGCTTCCACTCTCGGCACAAACGATCAGATATGTGCCTAACACACTCTTAAAAATAAAGGTGCTTCACGATGCCATAGAAGAACCTTTTTGTCTAAATGGTTCCATAAAGAACCTTTAACATCTGAAGAACCTTTCTGTTTCACAAAAGCTTCTTTGTGGCGAAATAAGGTTCTTCAGATTACAAAAAGGTAAGAAAGAGATGGTTCTTTAAAGAACCTTTGACTGAATGCTTCTTTGTGGAACCAAAAATGGTTCTTCTATGGCATCGCTTGAAGAACCTTTTGAAGCAACTTTATTTTTAAGAGTGTAGCGCACATTTATCTAGGTTCAATTTTTTTATTAATATGGTGAAAAGCATGAAGTGTTTTTTTTTATCCATAGATTTTATTTTAGGCAAGTCGTGTTGATTTGAGAAGAAGGCTAAATTGATCAAACATATGCTCATCGCGCTTCCTGCCGCTGGCCGCTTGGTCGTTTCTTTAAAAAACAAAAACTTGAATTTAACAAACATAGAATGTTCCAAACATATTTGTAAATTAACTTAATAAACAAACGAAAAGAAATATGACCACTTTGCCATTAAAAACAAAAACTGAAATATTGTAATGGCTGCAACAGGTGCAGTGTATGGGGAAGAGAGAGAAAAAAGACTGAAGGGGATTCAGTCGGACTCGGGGCGAGAATTCTGATAAGCTGTCAGACAAGGTCCGGGCCCATGCAGAGCTCTATTCATTCCCTCGTTCCAACTAAAAGTTCCCCTGGGCTCGGCGGGCCCCCAAACTGCCCGGGCCCATATGCACCTACATACCCTGCATACCCAGACGCTACACCACGGAGCACAGCGCATGTCGCGTCCTGTGAGAAAGGGCCATAACCGAGCATTAGGAGACAGGCTGCGTGTGTGCGGCAAGTGTAAACGGCTCCTCCGTGAGACGCGGCAGAGAGGAGCGAGTATGAGAAGCATTCAGAGATGCAGGCTGTGTGCGCAGCCTTCTGAATTGGGAATAGCGAACATAAACTTCTTTCAATTAGAATCTGTTGGGGAGATAAAATGTCCAAGATAACGTTTATGTACTAATAAAAACATCTAATAATGTATCTTGTATTCTCCAGTACTGAAAGCAGAACCGATAAGGGAGCTCTTGGTGTTGTGACACAGCTCTTGCAAATTAACGTTACATTTTTTGTTTGGTGTGTGTCATTTCGAAGCCGAAGTAATCTCATATTACATAAGTTTTTCTTTAGTATAAATTTGCCTAACTATCGATCTGACCCTGTAGACGCCATAATCACACACTCTCTCTCCCCCCCCCAACGCTTTCCGTTTTTTTTTTTTTTTAAATGGTGGGCGTTTACTCAGTTGGCTAGAGCAGTGCTGATTGGAGAGAACGGAGGTGCGCTCACTCTATTGGTTAGTAAGGCTGCCACTCAAGGCTGGCAGTCATGCATATGCTCTGGAACAGAGTAATATCGCGTCCACATCGCAGGCTTTGCGATTAGCAAAAAGGCATTGCCTCAAATCGCGATTGCGATTCGATTTCGATTAATTGCACAGCCCTAGTAGAGAGACTGTACATTTTGAATGCATATATCCTCAAAAAGCTAATTATAAATTTGTTTTACTCATTCAAGAAGCTGCTTCACTTGGATGTGTCACAATTATGAAAAAAAGAAAGAAAAAAAAACATTTGTGTATATATACACACACACACAGGGTTCACACACCAATACATTTCCATGACTTTTGAGACAATATTCATGACCTAATGTTCCATTATTTTATGATAAGAATAAAAATCTGTTCAAATTTATCATAGCATGTTAACTCAAATAAATGACTATTAATGCTACTTGTTTGCTTTCTATATGTTTTAATAATAAGTACAAGCTACAACTGCGACAGACGTTACTCCAGAGAACATATCATCACATCACTGAATATTGTCATTTATTTAACCAATATTATCAGTTAAACTCAGGACCTTAATTTTGCTTTGGAAACTGTTTCAGTAGTGTTTTCTAACAGTAGTGTTCAGGTACACACTTCTTTTCCTTTCGGCTGTTCCCTTCAGGGGTCGCCACAGCGAATCATCTGCCTCCATCTAGCCCTATCCCCTTCTGCATCCTCTTCTCTCAGACCGACTACCTTCATGTCTTCCTTCACTACATCCATAAACCTCCTCTTTGGTCTTCCTCTCGGCCTCCTGCCTGGCAGCTCTAACCTCAGCATCCTTTTCCCGATATATTCACTCTCCCTCCTCTGAACATGTCCAAACCATCTCAACCTGGCCTCTCTAACTTTGTCTCCAAAACATCTCACATGTGCTGTCCCTCTGATGTACTCATTCCTGATCCTATCCATCCTCGTCACTCCCAAAGAGAACCTCAACATCTTCAGCTCTGCTACCTCTAACTCTTCCTCCTGTCTTTTCCTCAGTGCAACTGTCTCCAAACCATACAACATCGCTGGTCTCACTACTGTCCTGTACACCTTTCCTTTCATTCTTGCTGGTACTCTTTTATCACACAACAAACCTGACACTTTTCTCCACCCATTCCAACCTGCCTGCACACGCTTCTTCACCTCTTTTCCACACTCCCCATTGCTCTGGACTGTTGACCCTAAGTACTTAAAATCCTGCACCTTCTTTATCTCTTCTCCCTGTAACCTCACTGTTCCACTTGGATCCCTCTCATTCACACACATGTATTCTGTCTTGCTGCAACTAACCGTCATTCCTCTTCTCTCCAGAGCAAACCTCCACCTCTCTAGCCTTTCCTCCACCTGATCCCTGCGCTCACTACAGATCACAGTGTCATCCGCAAACATCATAGTCCATGGAGATTCCTGTCTGACCTCATCTGTCAGCCTGTCCATCACCACCGCAAACAAGAAGGGGCTCAAAGCCGATCCTTGGTGCAGTCCCACCTTCACCGTGAACTCCTCTGTCTCACCTACCGCACACCTTACCACTGTCCTACTGCTCTCATACATATCCTGCACCACCCTAACATACTTCTCTGCCACTATAGACCTCCTCATACAATGCCACAGCTCTTCTCTTGGCACTCTGTCATACACTTTCTCTAAGTCTACAAAGAATGCAGCTCTTTCCGACCCTCTCTGTACTTCTCCATCAACATTCTCAACGCAAATAATGCATCTGTAGTGCTCTTTCTTGGTATGAAACCATACTGCTGCTCACAAATGCTCACTTCTCCACTTAGCCTTGCTTCCACTACTCTTTCCCACAACTTAATTGTATGGCTCATCAGCTTAATACTTCTGTAGTTCCCACAACTCTGCACATCTCCCTTGTTCTTAAAAATCGGCACCAGAGCACTTCTCCTCCATTCCTCAGGCATCCTCTCACTCTCTAAGACCTCGTTGAACAACCTAGTTAAAAACTCTACTGCCATCTCTCCTAGACACTTCCATACCTCCACTGGTATGTCATCAGGACCAACCGCCTTTCCTCTCTTCATCCTCTTCAAAGCTCTCCTAACTTCACCCTTGCTAATCCTTTCTACTTCCTGCTCAACAGTATTTGCCTCTACTACTCTTCTCTCCCTGTCATTTTCCTCATTCATCAGTTCCTCAAAGTATTTTTTCCATCTTTCCCTCACCCTCCTGTCACCTGTCAACACATTTCCATCTCTATCTTTAATCACTCTAACTTGCTGCACATCCTTTCCATCTCTATCCCTCTGCCTCACCAACCGATACAAATCCCTCTCACCTTTCTTACTATCTAACCTTGCATACAAGTCCTCATAAGCTTTCTGTTTGGCCTTTGCCACCTCTATCTTAACCTCACGCTGCATCTCCCTATATTCCTGTCTACTTTCCTCCGTCCTCTCACTGTCCCACTTCTTCCTAGCTAACCTCTTCCTCTGGATACTCTCCTGAACTTCCTCATTCCACCACCAAGTCTCCTTGTCTTCTTTCCTCCTTCCAGATGACACACCTAGCACCTTCCTACCTGTCTCCCTGATCACTTTGGCTATAGTAGTCCAGTCATCTGGAAGCACCTCCTGACCACCTAAAACTTGTCTCAACTCCTCCGTGAAAACCACACAACACTCTTCCTTTTCCAACTTCCACCACTTTGTCTTCTGCTCTGCCTTTGCTCTCTTCATCTTCCTCACCACCAGAGTCATCTTACACACCACCATCCTATGCTGTCTAGCTACACTCTCTCCTACCACTACTTTGCAATCGCTAATCTCCATCAGATTACAGCGTCTACATAAGATATAGTCCACCTGTGTGCTCCTGCCACCACTCTTATATGTCACCCTGTGTTCCTGCCTCTTCTGAAAGTACGTGTTCACCACAGCCATCTCCATACTTTTAGCAAAGTCTACCAACCTCTGTCCTTCTGGGTTCCTTTCCTGAAGACCAAACCTCCCCATCACTTCCTCATCCCCACTATTCCCTTCACCAACATGTCCATTAAAGTCTGCCCCTATCACCACTCTCTCACCTCTAGGAACACTCTGCATCACTTCCTCAAGCTCGCTCCAGAATCTGTCTTTCTCCTCTTGCTCACAACCTACTTGTGGAGCATAAGCACTAACAACATTCAACATCACACCTTCAATTTCCAGCTTCAGACTCATCAACCTATCTGACACTCTCTTTACCTCCAGAACATTCTTCACAAACTCCTCCTTCAGGATTACTCCTACTCCATTTCTCTTCCTGTCCACACCATGATAAAACAGTTTAAACCCTGCTCCAATGCTTCTAGCCTTGCTCCCTTTCCACCTGGTCTCCTGGACACACAGAATGTCGACTTTCCTCCTCTGCATCATATCTACCAGCTCCCTGCCTTTACCTGTCATCGCACCAACATTCAGAGTCCCTACTTTCAGTCCTAAACTCCTGCCTTTCCTCTTCTCTCTCTGCCTACGGACACGCCTTCCTCCTCTCACACACCTTCCTCCTCTCCTTCTTCGACCAACAGTAGCCCAATTTCCACCAGTGCCCTGTAGGTCAACGGCACCGATGGCGGTCGGGCTGTCGTTGGGCCCCGACCGATCCAGTATGGAAGTCATGTTCATGATTCGCATAATGAATTTGGCAAAAGTTTTACGTTTTTACGTC